CACCAATACCAAAAACATTAATTATAGCACCACAGCCTCTCCCTGTACACAGGAGCATCCATTGACAAGCTAGATAAAGGATTTACTGCTCATTCTGATTCCTCTCGCAAGCTGTTCCTGAACTCATCCACCAGTTCCCCTTCCAGCTTTCTCCTGTGGGCACAGCTCTGTGTTTTGCATAGCAGCGCTTGAAAAGCCTCCCCGATCCTGCAGGCAGCCTTGGCTTTCTTCGGGCTTTCCCGTTTCCTCGGCCATGCAGCACATGTCTGTCCCAAGCCTCCGACATCTCACCCTTCAAGCAATTCAGCCTTCTCCTTCCCTGGGAAGCTGCAAAGCAGGGTGAATGTGGGAGCAGCCATGGGACAGGCCCCAGAGGCGCTGTAGGGTCGTCATCCCTGGAGACTTCATAACTCACCTGGACACGTACCTGAGCCATTCAGGCCAGCCGTGAGGCCATCTGCTTGGAGCAGGGCTGGCTGGAGGTGCAAGCTTTCCCCCCCAACCAAAAACTTCTTGGGGCTCTACCATTTGTCCATTTTCAGCAAAACCCACCCAGATCCATGTCCCTCTTGTCTCTTCCCTGCCAGACAGACCCACCATGCTCCTGCAACACTCCCAGAAGGGCTTCTGCTCCCTGTTTATCACCCAGCTCTTCAGAGCTGTCTCTCCTCTTCCCACTCTGGGCAGCTCCCCTCCAAGCACTTTCAACATCAAAGTTGCCGTTCGAGGTCTAACCCTGGCTGTTTCAAAGCAAGTCGGCTGTGTTACATCCACCTCTGTTTACAGGGGCACGCACTGGTCCTTGTTGTTTCCTTCAATCCTGTTGCTTTCCCCTCCTGGAGAGGCAAAGGTCACCCAGTCACGGGGATTTCAGCCCTGCCACACTGGTCTCCAGCTTTCTCCTCCCTTGGCCACAGCTCAGGCTGCAGCTCCCACCCACGTTCCTACAATCAGTACCCTACATAGCTGAAAGCGATGGAACGTGTTCACCCAGGAAGATAAGAAACCGGTGACTCAGGCCAAGGTACGATGGTTAGATATCAGATCACACAGCCTGATTGCACAGGACATTGTAGAGCAATCTCGTTGAGTTTTGATGCTCGAGACCTGCCCCAGAGCATCTCTGGAAAGCTCCATATCTGAGGACAGCAAACAGAAAGCTCCTGTCTGAGCACTGACAACTGCCAGCTCTTCCCCCATCCCATGCCTGGCATCTCTCACCACTCTGCATCACCCCTGGCTCTGCCATGGGGCTCTGTGCTCTGAGCAGGACCTGTTTTCCTTGCACAAAGGGCTCCGCAACTCCACATGCACAACCTCAATGGAGGCACCCAACTCACGCAATGGCACCAGCGGTGTCTCCACCACCTTAGCAGGCAAAGACAAGGGGACAGGAGTGCATTGGGAAGAGGTTGACAGATGTGCGTACCTGCCTGTTCTCCGTGGCCCAGTTGCTGTTTCTCCATTACTGCTTTCATGCCTGGATGTGCCTGCTGGCCGCAAGAGATGAGCTGGGGGATTAAGCCCTGAGCACAGGGGTCTGTTAGCCAAGAGCAGGGCACGAGGAGCCATACCTCCCTGCAGACCAGCAGCTGAGAGAGCGTTGGCCAGCTCTGCTCAGTCACCTGGGTGACGGGCAGCTAAACCAGGTGGCACAGCACCCCTTGGGCCGGATTCACCAGGCAAAGTTCACAGAGGGCAATAAACAACTGAGTCACTCCCTGCCTTTTGGGAGTCTCCAGTTTAAGGCATCAGGTCCCAACCTGTGCTTTCAGGGCAAAGGACAAAATATGAGAGGTGGTTACGGTTCCCATCCCACACAGGATGCAAAGATGCCCGGCTTTTCACAACATGGAGGAGAGGGCAGAAGGTGAGGCTGAGCACAGCCAAATTTCCTTCTACAGAAGTGCATGGGCAATGATGCCTGGGCTCACAAAAGCAGGTAGAAACCCCTATAGAGCAGTGGGGTCCTGTAACAAGTGTTGTAGCACCTCCTTCAAAGCAAAGAGCAGTCTTCTGGATAAACCTGGGCTGATTGTGCAGCTCCAGCTCCACACAGCACCAAACTCATGGGAAACCACAAGTTTTATCCCATCTTTCCAGGTTGTTCCATCTCATCAGTGCTCAGCTGGTGCTTTAGCACCTTTTGTTCCCTCTTCATGTAACTCTGTTCGAGCAGGAAGCTGAGCTAGAGAGCTTCAGAGGCCATGTTGCATCCACCCCAATCCCAAGCTGCAGCAGATCCCCCACAACTCCTGAATCCCACACTTGCATCTTCCAGGATACATCGCAGTACACCAGATGCCTCCATGGCAACTAAGCAGGTGAAACTAAACCATGCAGCAGGCTGAGCTTGGACACCACAGGACAGAAATACACTTTTTCTCTAACCCTGAACCCCAAATCCTCAAGGGAAAGCTACAAAGTGCTTTTAAGATGAGCCTAGAAACCGTTCATAGCTCTGCTTGACACCAGCATCATGGATAACCGAATGACTGGTGGTGGCGTATCATGTCTCCTCTCCCCTCACCAGCCTCTGCATACTCCATAGTCTAAAAGTACTCACCCCATCCCATCAGGCACAACTCCTCTGACAACTGCACAACTTTAGCCCACAAGCACGCACTTGAAGAAAAAAATCCTAAGTTCCTACCTATGGTCACCAATCTCTGCCCACCCTAGGTATTTGGTACTTTATTCCAGGTTTTAATAAAACCTTAGGTATCAGAAAGCATTTATTTTTCCTAGCTATACTAGCTTATTCAAATCTACCTCCTCCGGCACCTCCAGATCTCACTGCATTTAAGTCCTCGGACTGTCACACCTACAGTGCCAGCAAGGACTCCTCTGCTATTTCATATATCTCACCCAAGAGAGAAAATGAGGCAGGGGCAGCATCAGAGAGGAGTCAGAGCAGGAATAAGGAACAACTGAATGCATCTGGCTTTGTGGTAGGTGAGGAATGCTGAAGGTGGAGAGGGTGAACAATACCTGCTACAGCCCAGGGCAGAAGCACAGCAGACTTATTGATTGATTTTAGATGAGCATCTTGAAGACATGCTTAATTACCTCCACAACAAGGAGCCCAGTACTGCTTCAGAGCACAGTGAGGGTCAGGTACACCAAGTTGAAGGGACAGCCGGCCACTGACTGCTTCCTTGCAGAGAAACAACAGCACCAGTGAGGCAGGGCTCTGGCCCCAGGGGGTTCAGGATGCAGCTGAACACCACCACAGCACCCAGCTCTGGTGCTGGAACAGACTTTATTGCCTTTAAATAAAGCTCCACATAAGCACACCCCAATCCGCCTCACAACTCTGAACAGCTACAGCCATAGCCAAGGGAAGCACAGCTCCACGATAGCCAACTTCTCAATTCTGTTTCAACATCAGGCCAAAACAGAGCACGTTCCCACCCACACTAGTGCCAGTAGCTCAGGTGTTCACACGAGGGCCGGGCTGAGAGGTGCTACCAGCCCCAAGCCAAGGTTGAGCTATTTCTGCTGCAGACACCACCACAGGGGCAGTACCCCTCTACTTCGCAGAGATGCTCAGAAACAACAGCAGGTGGGAAGAAGGGAAAAAAATAAAAGCAAGATTCTTTAAATCTGCATCCCTACAAGCCAACTCAACAAAGAGCCTCTGCAGAGCCTGGATCCTCCTGGGGCTAGCTCTGTGCTTCTGTTTCCTACACAAGCCAACCCTCCTCATGGCAGGACGCACCAGCCTGGGCAGCACGGCCACAGCTCAGTGGGTCTCCACCACAGTTGGGGCAGTGCAGGGCCAAGCAGCATGGCCCCTCTCCTAACCTCAGCCAGCCCCAGGGAAGCACCCGGGCACACCGTAATACTCCCTTAGCAGAGAGCATTCAATGGGTAAATATGTGACACGTCAGGGTGAGCATGCATCAGCCACATCTATTTCCCAGCCTTAGGCACTTGGGAGACAGTCTCAGACACCCTCAATGCACAAAACCACACTAAAGTCTTCAGAAGTCACTCACGTCTTTCATTAACTAGAAGGAACGAGAGAAGTAAGCCCAAAGAGGTGGTTAACAGCTCTCCTGCAGCAGGAGAGAAGAGACCCCACGCTTCCCGGGTACACCCAGGCTTATTGGGCAAGGCAACAGAAACAAAACTCTCTTCCAGCCCCACCACCCCACATCAAAAGCAGCCAGCTATTGGGGTAAAAACACCACTGCAGCGAGGACAAGTCAGTTCCAGTCATTTATTAATTGCAACACTTGAAGTACACCAGGTACTTGGCGAAGCTCCCCAGATAGACAACAGGAAGAATACTTGGTAGAGCAGATTCATGTAAAAAGGGAGTTAAAATAGATAAAATAACATAGTAACCTTTCACTCGTGCTACAAGCAGAGCAAACTAGCCCTGAGCCCAGGTTAACATCAACAGCTTCAGTCTTTCCAGCCAGTTGCTGTTAGAACACATTCAGCCCCACGGCCAGGGGACAGCAAGGCATCTGTCCTCACAGCTGAGGGTACAGGGTGCACTTCTCAGACCAGCTCCGCTGGAGCCCGGCTTCAGACACTGCGCCGAGCCTGACTTCCAGTAAGGTTCCATCTTGTTGAGCACGTCTGGAAAGCTGGCCCCAGCTTTGGTGTGCAAGTGTAAGAGCAGCTCTTCTGAAGATGAACCTTCAAGTACTTCAGGATCAGCCACAGGTAATGTGTTTGAGCCACCTGGAAAGACTGGTAGAGCCAAGACAGGGCAGCATGCCAGACTGATGCCTTTCCTGCCCTAAGTCAGATCTAATCCACGTGTTTTGAGGCTGCTCCTGAACTGTGCACAGCTCAGACGTGCTTTTGCAAGACACCGCTTTGCAGCTGTGTTAAGACAGTCTCCACTTACTCTAGCTCTCCAGTTTTATGCCAGAAAAAAAACCCATACCAAAAAGAGCAAGTATTTCTCTTCAGTTCTCACATTTCCATTTTCAGGAACTGTTCCCCTTCTGTTGAGAAGGAAGATGGAGTCTGAAGCCATGTGCCTGCAGAACAGCAGGCATCACAAGTAGCACCAGAATGAAGAACGTCCATGTTACCGATACAAGAATTAACCCACTGAGACTGGCTTTAATTAATCTAGGAGATCACTGTATCTCTCCAGAGTCTCCTTCTCCAGCTCCAACAGCTTTTGGTAAAATTTCTCAGCAGTTTCTTCATCCACATCCATCTGAAAGACAATAAGAACAGCACTGTGAGACCACCACCTTGGTGGCAGCACCACGCCGAGGGCAGCTCTGGAGATAGAGAGGTGCATCTCCAGAATTTCTACATTCACAGAGAGGCAACCGAAGTCATGTATCACCAGAGCATAAGCCAGAACATACTTTGGGAAAGCATTGTAACACAATCTGCCTGTTCTAACCATCATCTCCACTGCCTTCTGGATTCCAGCTTGAGCCAGGGTTTACTCTAGGAAACCTCACAGGTAACTCCACATCAGCATTCGACATGCATCTTGTTTCCACTCCAGCCACAGGACCCCCTTGGCACCAACCTTTCCACACAAAACCCCTCACCAAGTCCCCTGCAGCAGGAGGCTGCTGCTCCATTTACCTTTCTGGGCTCCACGTAGCTCTTCCCCAGCCCAGAACAGCAGCTGTGGTATTTGACAAGTGCATCCAGGTACTCCGGCTTCTGCTTGAACAGCCACACCTAGAAGGAACAGCACAAACATGTACGAGTCCAGCACACCTGTCCCAACCAAGCCAAGTCAAGGACCTGACTGCCAATGGACACAGGAGAACACACCACAGGTGCTTCCACCAAGCAGGGAGAGAGACTTGATATCCACAAAAGAAGGTCTGAGCCGGCTCCCCTCGGCTGTGACCCACCACAGCCAACAGTAAACCATGTTTATGCCCCAGCACTGAACCACTAAAGCAGTTCACATGGCTGCACTTGCTCACTACTGTTCTCAAGACACACTGTGCCTGGCATTACCCACCTCTGTCCCCTGTGCCCACAAGTCTACGGCTGCTTGACTGCCAGCAGAGAGAGCACGTTCTCCCCGGCCAATTGGGAAGGAATAGTGTTTTTCCAAAAGCATTTCTTTTAGGGGCATCTGATGAAAGGCATAAAGCATCACCTGGTGGACCAGCCCTGGTCCCAGCTGGTCCCCCAGCACTCACTGCTGTACACTACTCAGGGGCAAAATACAGCACTCCCCCAACCAGCCTTGCTGAGAGGCTCTTTGCTCAAGCCAGCAGACCCTGGTAGAGCTACCCAGAGGGAAGGAACTTTAAAATCGAGTTGTGAACTACTTACGTGAGCTTCTGCTCCATTATATGGTGTCAGAGTGTAAGTTTTGGCAAAAAAGCGGATCTGAAGGGAAAAGAAGTACATGACAGTATCTGTGTTTTGGTCCAAGGTTTCCTGGGCAAGCCCTCTGCAGCCCAGCCACACCTGATCATCTACCAGAGGCAGAAACACTTCTCAAAGTTGACTACAGGTAACACTGCACACTTATGTAGTGATAAAGGGATGCTTCAGTCAAACTCTGGTCTCTGGACCACCCACCAGATCAACCAGCCTCACTTTGTGCCCCCACATGGAGCTCCCCCCCAGAGCAAGAGGCAATAGGTCGCACACATGCCTCACGGCCACCTCTTCTGGAACGGTCTCAAGAGCACTTCAGGCAGGAGGCAGAGAGGATCTGCAGTACTGCTGGTGTTGAGGACAAGTGAGAAGGCATTGCCTCTCCACGGCCAGGAGAAACATGATTCGTCAGGATCAGCTGCTGCCAACTGGGGCAGCTTAAGCAGAAAGGCCCATCTTGCAGCAAGAGCACCAAGGCTCAGAGCAGGCAGCCTTCAGGGACAGAGCTGCAGCGAACCTCAAAAGCTGAAGCCCCGGGGAAGAAAGGCAAGGAAAGTTTTGGAGAAGCAAGGGAAGAGGCAATAGAGAGCAGCAAGCTTGCTTTCCAGAGGGATGGAAAGAAAAGAGCAGGAGATACTGCCTTCTAGTGGAGTGGAAAGACAGAATAATACAGTCTGTTATAGAAACAAACAGCATTTCAACACACAGGGACCAAGTTTCGTCCTGAGCTCTGCTGCCCCCAAAACGTTAAGGTTTCACCTGCCCACAACAGGCTGGCAAACCTTCCAAGGGGAGCCTTGACAAAGGCTGCTACGGCTGAAGGGCTAAATCCTGCCTCCGTGTACAGCGCCGTTCAGCATCAAACCTCCCAACTCGGCTTGGAAATCAGGGCGCCAAGGTGCCAAAGGGAAGGTTTGCAGCGGGGCCAGCCTGCCCAATCCAACAGAAGGAAGAGTTGCACAGCAACACAGGTAGCAAGGAGCCAGAAGCACGTTGCACATTGCTTGTGGGTAGGTATAATCACAGCAGCGCTACCTCAACCCAAAACCAGCCAGGAAACCCACTTACCAACCACATGATGGGCATCAGCAGCTTCCACAGAAAAACTGGCAAAATCCTGTAGGTCATGTTGGACATAACAAGCCCAGGACAAACCACACTGGAATACAGACCCTGTGGAGAAGAAACCAAGTCAGTGTGGAAATACACAACAGTTAGTTTAAGAACGGATCATTCTCCTTCCCTCTTAGTACTTCTCAGCAAGAAAATGAAGGTGAGTATAGAAATCAGTTAATAGTACATGCTCTCCTGTCTGAAGTTAACAGAGCCAGAGGGTGATTAGATGTTGTGATTTCTGAGAGGTCCAAACTGGAGACATTCACGTTCAATCTGTGCCCTTTGCAACCCCCTGGGACAGAAGGTGCAGCCTCCCAACACATCACCACCTCATGCTGCAGTCTACAGCAGTCATCCCACAAATTACAGCCCACTCAGACCAAAGGCTAACTCACCTTTAAGATATAAGGGTTCAGCCTGCTGGGACTCAACCATTTTCTCCTAAAGTATATTTCAAGAGAGTGCAACCTATCGCTGGACTAGGGCTGCAGCTTGCCAGCAAAATCCAGCAATCCCCTATGACAGGGAAGGCAGGTTTCTCATACACCTTAGGGGGACAAACTTGACTAGCAGCATGGAGCCATCAGGAGAGACAGCAGAGCCTGCACCTCAAGGGCTTGCAGGCAAGGCTGCCTAAGCAGCCCTGTTCTGATAGGCAGGTACACCTGAAAAGAGCAGCAGCTCTCTGCTCTGTCAGACCAATTCTTTGGTCTAAAGAGACCGCAAGGTAGGGACTGCTCCTAAAATCTTCTGCTTTCAGAAGTTTTTCCTGACAAGAACCCTAGAAGCAATCTCTGACAGATCCTCCACCACCGGTTCAACCTCAGCCATATTTAGTTCTCACGTGTGCCTTAACAAACATATCGGATTGCTATGAATGAATGCAACTAGGTAACAACAATGTAATGATAATTATAAATAGTAGGAGCATATTAGGTTCCTTCAGACATGCAAACCCCATCATCACCTGCTTATTAAATTTCCTATTCAGAACCACACTTGTCAGGTCAGTAGCATATTTGGAGGAACTGTATGATTCCTGCCCCTTGGCATGCTGATAGTCAGAGAGGCTGAAGGCAGACTCCCTGGCATTGCTGGAAGAGGTCCAGATGAGTCGCGAGGGCTTTTCGCTACCGCAGAGTAGAGACTCAAGTTGACGAACCTGCAAAATAATTAACTTCCTTAACATACTAATTTTAAAGTCTTGAAGTATAGCTTTGCAGTTCTTAAAAGCCACAAGCTGATCTCAGCTTTTCTAGTCCTGGCCAATCTTCACTAGACTAGCCAGAAGCAGCTGCCGCTCAGGTATAACTTCAGACCAAGGTCCACCAGAAGCACTTACAAGCAGTCACCGTTCTCTGACACAGCTCAGTTTAAATTCTAAGGTACTAATATAGTCAAGTCTTGGTATTTGCCCTGGACAGAGAGAATTACGTATGGTTTACCTCTATCCACTGACTAACTAGGGTAACCTCAAGACTATATTAACTCTTGCAACAACGACTATTGTTATTTCAACAAAGCCTGAGACCTTTGCCCTATCATTCCTTATCTGTCAGGCTGCAGCCTGCATCAGCATCCGAACCTGTAAGACAGATCTGATTCCTCAGTACTGCCTCTACCCATCCCTACCCACATCAACCGCCAGACTGAGGGCTTCGTCTCCATAAGGAGCCTCACCAGGATAAAGTGTCCAAAGAGGTTGGTAGCAAACACCTCCTGCAGTCCATCTCCGTTAAGCCTGTCGGTCTGGGTCATTATGCCTTCCGCGGTGGTCAGCATGTGAAGCACCCTCCTGGAAGCCAAGGACAGGAGTTAGAGAGGAACGCTGCCGGAAGGCATCTACTGCTCCCCCACCTTCAGTCCTTCAGAAGTATCCCCACCTCACAGGCTCCACACAGACTCTCTGGTTTAACCTTCAAGGGCTCTATTAATCCATGAAAAAACAGATGGAAAAAGTTTACAGAGTACCCCAGCCCCTTTATTTGCAAGTGTCCCTAGACCAGAGAAGACTTCACTTCACCACAGTAAAGTATCATTAAAAAAAAAAATTCTTGCTCTTCCATTTCACATTCAGATAACGAAGTCAAGCTCCTGTGTGGAACTAAGCCCTAGAGCCGTGCCTAATTCAGATCCAGAAACCAGTCTAGTGTCTATGTTCAACACCCCAACAACTGTTATTAGACTCAATGCAAGTCGCTCTGCTCCCCAGCTCAACTCCCCCGTGTTGCTTACAGAGCAGTGACGTGTATCCCCATGGTGCTTACAGAATAAGTATCAACTATTAGCTTCACAAAATACCGTGATCTACAGCTGAGAACAACTACAAAAACCTACAGTGGAACCAAAACAACAGTAAGGAGACCCAGTAAGAACAAACTTCACCTCCCCAGCAACACACCAGCTTTTTTCACTCAATGCCTAGTGCCAGGCGCTGCAGGCTTTGGGTGAACTCTTGCCCTCCCCCTGCACGAAGCAGGTCTCACACCAGGGATCAGAAGCAGCATCTGGGTGCCTTGGAGCACCGCAGCCAAGCCCATCCCACGCGAGGCCATGCATCCCACAGGGATGTGCTCTGCATCATACTGAGGAAGGGAGATAGGGTCTTCAGGCGGGGACCCAAGGGCACACCTTGGCCATGATGATGTCTGTGTCAGGGGGGTTGGAACTAGATGATATTTAATGTCCCTTCCAACTCAAACCATTTTGTGATGCTGCCAGCACTCCATACCACCTGCAAGCCCAGGGACCACATTTCCCCTGATCCCAACATCTCCTACCCAGTGCGGAGCCCATGCCAGAGTGCCTTGAAGTTCACGTGTGGGTTGGGCATGATCCCAGCGTTGAGGTAGACAAAATCCAGGCGTTGAAACCTGCGTAGGGAAGAGCATAGGGGTGAGGGAGGAAGGGTGGACAGCAGGGTCTGGCGAGGTGGAGGACAGAGACCCGATACCTGCAGCGGAGCTCACGGGCGACACACAGGATGGAAGCCAGGTTACCCAGGTCCACTTCCACCGTAGAGACCTCGGCGGCGGGGTGGGTGGCCAGGATGACGTCTCGCGTGGCTTCGCTCTTCTGAGCGTTGCGGCAGGCGATACAGAGATGGATGCGGCCATCCTCCT